AAGTATGACATGGGAGGACAAATTGGAATATAAACTACTTATTGGTAATTGGTGTGTAAGGGAAAGCTTTTTTTTAATAATACCCATTGAAGAGCCTTAAGAAATCATAAGAAGCAAATGGAAAGGCAATTACTTTATTCTTGCTTAAACTCCTTAGCCTCGGCTGGGCGCGGTGGCTCATGCCTGTAATCCCAGCACTTTGGGAGGCTGAGGAGGGCGGATCACGAGGTCAAGAGATCGAGACCATCCTGACCAACATGGTGAAACCCCATCTCTACTAAAAAATACAAAAATGAGCTGGGCATGTTGGTGCGCTTCTGTAGTCCCAGCTACTTGGGAGGCTGAGGCAGGAGAATTGCTTGAAATCAGGAGATGGAGGTTGCAGTGAACCAAGATCGCGCCACTGCATTCCAGCCTGGCGCCTGGCAACAGAGCGAGACTCTGTCACAAATAAATAAATAAATAAAATAAAATAAAATAAAAATAAACTCCTTAGCCTCTTCCCCACATGGCATTGGTTGTGGCTGTCTTAGAGCCATTCCACCCCATGCCCGAATGGCCCATGCTTCTTCTCATCACTGGACTGTGCTTGACTTCACTGACCCTCATGGTCGTGTGGCTTCCAGGGAGATCAGCCTGCAATCATTTCTATGGATTAGTGGAAAGGGAAGAGTCAGGCTGGATGTGGCAGTTTACGCCTGTAGTCCCAGCACTTTGGGAGGCTGAGATGGAATGACTGCTTGAGTCCAGGAGTTCAAGACCAACCTGGGCAACATAGTGAAACCCCATCTCTAATAAAAATACAAAATTGGCTGGGCGCGGTGGCTCACTACTGTAATCCCAGCACTTTGGGAGGCTGAGGCAGGTGGATCACAATGTCAAGAGATCGAGATCATTCTGGCCAACATGGTGAAACCCCATCTCTACTAAAAATACAAAAAATTAGCTGGGCGTGGTGGCACATGCCTGTAGTCCCAGCTACTTGGGAGGCTGAGGCAGGAGGATCACTTGAGCCGGGGAGGCAGAGGTTACAGTGAGCCAAGATTGTGTCACTGCATTCCAGCCTGGCGAGAGAGTGAGACTCCATCTCAAAAATAAATAAATAAAACTATATAAACAAACAAAAGAATGTTTTGCTATGAAACAATCCAAACATGTAAGAGCAGTATAACCCCCAGTCCCCCCTGTGGGGCTATCTCAACACCCTCCTCTGCACCCATCACTTAGCTTCAACAACAATCAACTCTGGGCCAATCTTGTGTCTTCTCTGTCTCCACTCATCTACCCCCTTGATTATTTTGTTTTTAAAATACGCTTCTGGTGCATTTATTTATTTATTTATTTATTAATGAGATGGAGCACCCAGGCTGGAGTGCAGTGGCATGATCTTGGCTCACTGCAACCTCTGCCTCCCAGGTTCAAGCGATTCTTCTGCCTCAGCCTTCCAAGTAGCTGGGGTTACAGGCGTGCACCACCACGCCCAGCTAATTTTGTATTTTCAGTAGAGACAGGGTTTCTTCGTGTTGGTCAGGCTGGTCTGGAACTCCCGACCTCAGGTGATCTGCCCACCTCTGCCTCCCAAAGTGCTGGGATTACAGGCATGAGCTACTGCACCTGGCCCTTCTGGTGCATTTATAAAATCCTTGGGTTGAAATATATTCTCATCAATAGTCTATGTACAGCCTAGCTTTATTTATTTACTTAGCTACTTAAGTAGTATTGTTTTCTTTTTGATTTGTCCAGTTATGTTTCTTTTTTTTTTTTTTTT